ATCACAGAAAATCATTTTAGGCAGCCACCAAAATTTATAGACTCAGCTGAATATTTTAATGGACTATGCCTATTTTAAGGAAATAAACTTCCAGAGAGACTCCAAATAATCATAAAATTCAAATAATAGGATAGTTTCCTGCTCAATTTTTCTCGTCAGGGCTGTACAGAAAGCCCTGATTTTTTAAAATTTTCATTTAACAGGTGTGCAAACAGATGCAACTTGTTTATTTTATTCCTACTCTTAAAATTTCTCCACTCCCAGAGAGTCTCTGTGTGTATTTATAGTATTAAAGTTCCAAAAGAATTACATAATTTTAACAGCAAATAAACTCTGTTTCCTTTTTATCATCCAGGCAAAAAACTTAACCACGAAACTCTGGACTTGCACGTGCTTTGAATAACTTACTAGTCAGCATTACTGTGACAGTGGACTGACATTTAGATGAAAACACGTGGGGTGGGATTCTGTTTCTGTTTCTTTTGGGGGGCGCTCTGACATGGCAGTCTTTATGCCAACAACGGATTTACGGCAGTGTAACAGGGAATGCAAAAAATAGTAGTTTTGTACCGTTGTATCTGGGTTTATATGTAAAACATGGATTGGTCTCTCCTGCCTGCTCAAATAATGTAAACAATTGTAAAATTAAAATTTATTTGTTGATTTCTCATTAATGAAGGCACACTAACGATCCCTAAGTCACTTTAAAAGGAAAACTTTTCCCCTTGCTTCTGGACCAGGTTGACTGGCTGCCACCTCTCCCAAGTAAAGCACCCATAATGCAAAACCAACGTCTGGCGAAGTCTGTGTCTGACTTCACAACAGTTCCTGCTCCCACCCCCCACCCTGCAGCAGGTGATAAGCGTGGGGGATTAACACCAAGAATTTGGGGGCCAGTCTGCTTGGTTTTGAAGTCTGATTTTGCACCATTAGTGGCTGTGTGACCTTAGCGAGCTACTTGATGGTTCTGTGTCTCATGTCATTATCTGTAAAATACATATGGTTTTGGGGTGCTTGGGTGGCTCAGTGGGTTAAGCCTCTGCCTTCAGCTCAGGTCGTGATCCCAGGGTCCTGGGATCAAGCCCCGTATCGGGCTCTTTGCTCAGAAGGGAGCCTGCTTCCCTTCCTCTTTCTCTGCCTGCCTCTCTGCCTACTTGTGATCTCTGTCTGTCAAATAAATAAATAAAATCTTTAAAAAAATACGTACGGTTTTATACAGGGATAACAATATTCATTGAGTTGTCATGAATTATTAAGTTAATCTACATAAAACACTTAGAACAGTGCCCAGCACATAAATGGTATGTGAATGCAGGTTTCACTTGAAGTTTCTGGCTTTCTTTCCTCATCCAATTCTACCTCCTGTCTACTGAATTTGAGGTTGTTTGACCCTCACATTTTCCACAGAAACTTCCCCTTGGCCATACTCCCTTCCATTCAGGCAGGACCTGTGTGCATGTCTCCGTGTCCCTTTACCACAATTCTCACAATTCACATAGCTAACCTTTTTGCCCTTTCGATCTCACTTCAAACATCCCTGCCGGGGGGAGCCTTCCCTGGCACTCCCAGGCTAGCTTAAGGCCTCATGCTTCGAGTATTCCTATATCTCTAATTCTGTAGCTCCACAGTTATGTGAACATCTAGTACATATGACTCCCCTACTAAAATGCAAGCTTCTTGAATGCAGGGCCAATATCCACTTGGTTCATTACTATAACCTAATTATTATAGCACTTGGTCTACAGTAGGTATGTAAGAAATACCTGTTACATGAATGAATAAATTAATTTCAGAGATAAGTCTAAGACTCAACATCAGTGAACATGATTCACCCAAGATTATACTACTGCAAATGACAGAACTACCAGGAGAATTGAATCCTCCTGACTCAAAGTCCTCTATTATTTCCAGGGCGTTAAATCTTTACACGTATCATACAAAGAACCATGTGACTAGTATAGTGCAGGTTCTAGAATGAAAAGTTAAAGTACAGATCAGAGAGAATGGGGTATGTGAGGTAGTTTGGAGGAATTGGAGCCCCCTGAGGAACTGATATTTCAGATGTGAAGTAGGAGTTAGAATGAGCAAGGGGAGTTGGGCAGAAAGTCCCGGCTAGAAACAACGATTTACACAGTGGTCCAATGACGAGCAAAGCTTGGCGAACAAGAACAGAGAAAAGACCACCGTGATGGCAGCAAATGGAATAGGAAGAGGGAGGCTGAGGTTAATCTGAGGGGCAGGGCCAGATCGAGCATGACCTTGTGTACCAAGGAGAGAATTTTGTTCCTTCACTAACAGGAGAGAATACCACGGATGGGTTTTCAGTAGGGGTGACACAGCCTATTCTGCACTTTCATAACATGATACTGACTGCACTCTGGGAGGTCTGGGGAAGAGCAGACTTAGTAATTGGGGGGACATAGGGGTCTGGACAAGAGTCATGTAAAAGATAGTGCTCAGATGTCCAGCATGATCAGCAGGGAGAATGTGGTACCGGTTACTGAGAAAGAGCCATTAGTAGACACATCAAGAGTTTGATTTCATTAAGTACATAACAGGCTCTCAATAAGACTAAGAACTATTATCATGTTTGTTGTCGTTACTGATGGTTGAAAACCAGTGGCTCCAACTGAGGGTAATGGTGACCTTTATGGATTTCAATGGATTTGAGCCCAAGGTGTTGCTCCCACCATGTACACGGGCACTTCTGGACTTGGTGTCTGGAAGGGGGAATCGCCTAAGGGGCGAAAGCAACTGAGCCTCAACTTGCAAAAGCCCTTTTGACCTCCAATCTGAATTCTAGGGTAGCCATAGGATAACAAGGGAGAGACACATGTGAAAATAGCCTTCTGTTTTCCTGAATTTCCTTCTCTTCTTCCCAGGAATCAAGAAATTTAGATATGATAATATGACCACGACCTCCAGATCTGCAGTGGCCAACAGATATACAAGGCCCTCAACATTGCCATCAACGTTGTTGTATGGAGAGAACAAAGCTATAAAACGAGCCTTGATTGGCCGGGGTTGAATAATGGATGAGTAGAGAAAGCTCAAAGGATGGTCTTATAAATTGGGTAAGGAGAGAGTAAGCAAAGAAATCAAGAGATGCTCTTAGATCTTAGGTCTTCCAGAAGGTATTTTATACCTTATTTTCTAATAGAGATTTTATTCTTATTATATCTTCACCTCTTGGGGGAATGTGTCACACTCATTCACATTGTTTACATAAAGTAAAAAAAAACAAAAACAAAAACAAAAGAATGCCTACAGGCACAGTCAATCAGCAGTACTGACTATGAGACCATCTTAACCCTGGTGAGCCAGCACTGCCCGCACCAACAAGCAGGGGGCGTGCTGAGCCCTCACGCTGGGTGACCAGCTCCTGCCCACAGCCTTTGTGCTCTTGAGATGCAAGGGAAGCCAAGACCACACATCAGGATTAGCCCCTTGGTACTCATTAGAACCCCTGCTATCACTATGCTGACCACTTGTTAAAGGAGTCCCAGAATAGACGAGGGGGTTGGCAAATGGGTTAAATATACCGGAAGGCAAGTCTGTTTCTAAAGTTGGGAGCCCTGACTTGAGAAGTTCTGCAGTACTTAATCTACATGCCCACTGGGTGTTTGTAAGACAACCATTGCAAGAGGCTCTAAAGGAAGGTCAAGTCTAAGAAAAGTCTAGATTGTTTTGGTCCTGCCTGTTGTCTAAAAGGTACAGTGATCCTTGCTTCATCTTGCACATAGAATGTATGTACATGTAACTGGCATGATTTAAGCACAATCACTACTGAGAACATCACACAAACACGTACAGATCAACACACGAGAGGGATTTTAAAGAGGGAAAGGGGAAACTTTTGCCCAACCTATTGAAGATGTCTGACATGGATTTTATTGATAGTAGAATACTTACAAAGCATCTTGAGGTATTTTAATATATTTTTAATTTATCCCTTTATTATCATATTTATTAAACTAGGAAAAGCATCTAATATTTACTTGGATTTTCTAAAACTTAAATAACCACATACACACAGCTTCAAAATGAACCTGTCTTCTTTACTGCTTTGGGTAATTTGTAGTATTGCCTGATATTTATAATCTAGCAAGATCCGAAGAACCCCCAGTTCAGGACAACAAAATGAGATGGCGGACATTCACTTGAGCATTTGCACCCATCCCTCGTCGTCTTCACCACTCCTTGTGTAAATGTACTTCGGAGTGTTAGCTTTCTGACACGCGTTGAAAGCAATACAGTTTTATTTTCTATCTAAGAACTATGAAGAGAATGTTTTCTTCTTCATGGCTTCAGCAGTGAGAAGCCTGATTTGAAAACCAGAGTCTGAGTACTTGAGACAGTCTCCACCACCCACCACAGCTACATAAACATTTCATCTGGGTCCTTTGCTTTTTACATCAACCTCAGATACTCATCTGTAAACCGGGGTAGAGCTGTGCTTGTCTCGGAAAGCGTCCAGAGCTTTGTTACATAGAAAGGACTTCGAGCTGTGCCTGGCACATAGTCAGTGCTCCCAAAACATAAGCTTTTGGCACCATTGTCATCGTTACTATCCCTCTGAAACAGAATCATTTCTTTTGTTCCTGGGCACTTGGACAAAGAGCCTACAAAAATACGTATTTAGTCTCTTCTCTACATTCCTAGCCCTTTGCCTTATCAGCAACATCAATCTTCTTACTTCCCGTTCCATAAGGGTTTTTTTCAGTCCAGTGATTCTCAAAGTTTTCTTTCAAGCAGACACCTTTATAATATATTGAACCATACCATGAACGTTCACATAATGTAATTTATAATTTTGGACTCTTTCAAGTTAAGAGAATACACACAAACAGAAGGCTTTAAGGACCCCCCCCCCCCCAGTAACTCCACAGCCCCTCAGGGCCTTCATTGCTTCCATCAATCAATAATACATTCAAATTAAAACAAAATTCAGGTTCTTTTGTCAAAGCCCCGTGAGTCACAGCTCTTCTGGACTCTCTTACCTCGCCCATGACCGCGATGGGTGTCTCTCCTGTTGCCTGAGCAACACGATGTTCTACTAAGTAGAACATGTACTCATCGTAGAGCAGACGGATCAGATGGAAGGAGCCGAAGCTAGCAGCGCTGCGTAAGGTTAAGTCCCGAATAACCATTGAGCTGTTTCGAGAGAGAAGACATATATGCAGCCAATATTAGTGACAGGACAAGAGTTCAACCTACTTTCCCTCCTAAAAGAAGTTAAGTCAGAGGGTCTAAAAGGCTAGGGTACTACACAACTTGCCAAGGACTAATTTCATGACTGAAAGCAGTCAGCTCCACTCATTTAAACAGGGTAGTAAAGAGGTACCCCTTCATGAGTTTTCGTTAGATCCTGACCAGATCTAGTCAGGTTTTCACCGAGAAAAAACATTTTATTGTCATGGCTGAGTCTTCTGATTCTGTCTCTCTCACAGAGGGGACCAGAACTAAATAAAAAAGATTATTGACAGATTGGCAATTCCAATCACTACCATATGAAACACTCAAAGTGAAAATCTTATTGATGGGTAAACAATGCGTCACCACGTCCCAGTGATGACTTTGGGTGTACACTTCTGAAGAAACAGGTATTTGTGCCATACAAAGATTACAAAACATACTCAGTAGTAACGCTCCCAGATGTGGCAACAGAGAATGAAAGTATGTACGGGGATCCCTGCAGATCTTATTGGAAGGCAACTTTATTAATTGATCCCAGTTTCTTACTGATGTCCATTTAAATTAAGCTGATTTTCCATTAGAAATAAGTATAATAAAATTAATTAAGAAATGCATAAAATGTGAATTTATAATTATAAAATATGATACCAAAATATGAATGTTATTATTAATACTAACAATATACTCTACTATATATATTTTTTTTTTTTAAAGATTTTATTTATTTATTTGACAGACAGATCACAAGTAGGCAGAGAGGCAGGCAGAGAGAGAGGAAGGGAAGCAGGCTCCCTGCCGAGCAGAGAGCCCGATGCGGGACTCGATCCCAGGACCCTGAGATCATGACCTGAGCCGAAGGCAGTGGCTTAACCCACTGAGCCACCCAGGCACCCTATACTCTACTATATTTTAAATGGAAACCAGTCCTAAATAAAATTTTGTCCTCACTGAAGATACACTGGTCTTGGATCTTACCCTCATACTTCAAACCTCCTTAATATTTCTAACTTAGAGTCAGAGTGGGGTGAGTATGTGTGTGTGTGTTTCTTATCACTCTCATTTCGTGGTCTTTTCTAGAGATTTTTGGCCTAGGAGAATTAAAACAGCCATTATATTCTCAGATAGGTGGAAGAAATAGGATCTCACAAATGGATAGGCTGATACCCTAAAGCCTGTTTTGCAATGAAGAATTGTAAAATGTCAGGCAGATGGAAAAAGACTGTACTTCTGTTTTCGGTTTCATTGTCAACTTTATTTATGTAGAGGCTATTAATATATCAAATTCTATACATTCAGTTTGGCAAGTGGCAGATGATCATGGTACATGTGAAACTCTAAACCCTACATTCTGATTCTGGCTCTTTGTTAACTCACTGTCGACTTTAAACAAATCATTTCCCTGAGATTGCTTTTCTTCTTGGGTGAAAATAAAAGCTACATTTTTGTTCTTACCTAACTTACATGATTATTTTAAGGATGTGAAATAAACTTATGAATGAACAGACTGACTACTTAAATATAATATACAAAACAGGAGAAGATGAGCTTCTCATTCTCAGTTGGTTATAGCAACAAGAACAGGAGGTTATTATATGATGATGGCAGGGGACCTCCCATTAGTGGATTTATTTACTAAGAAGAAAAAGAAAAAGCAGGAGTTTAGAGTGAGACTGACTCATGTTAACCACAATGTGATCTTAATTTTAAGCATGCCGTTCAACATTTTAAGGTTCAAGGTTAGTATAGATCAAATGAGATAATGTATGTGAGATCTTAAGAAAACTAGCCGTTACTAATTTCTCTGATGTTGGCTATAGCAACATTTTTATATATATGTCTCTTGAGGCAAGGGAAACAACAGCAAAAATAAACTATTGGGACTACTTCAAAATAAAAAGCTTCTGCACAGCAAAGGAAACAATTAAAAAAAAAAAAAACCTAAAACACAACCTACTGAATGGGAGAAGATATTTGCAAAGACATATCCAATAAAGGGTTAGTATCCAAAATATATAAAGAACTTATATTATTCAATACACACACATACACACACAAAACACAACAATCCAGTTAAAACACAGGCAGAAGACACAAACAGACACTTCTCCAAAGAAGACACCCAGAGGGCCAAGAGACACATGAAAAGATGCTCAACATCACTCATCATCAGGGAGATGCAGATCAAATCCACAATGAGGTATCACCTCACTCGGTCAGAAGGGCTAAAGTCAAAACACAAGAAATAACAAGTGTTGGCAAAGATGTGCAGAAAAAGGAACCCTCAAGCACTGTTGGTGGGAATATAAAATGGTGCAACTACTGTGGAAAACAGTACGGAGGTTCCTCAAAAAACTACAAATATAATCACCAGATGGTCTAGTAATCCCACTACTGGGTATTTACCCAAAGAATATGAAAACACAAACTCGAAAAGATATACGCACCGTATGTTTATTACAACGTTATTTACAATAGCTCAATTATGGAAGCACCGAGTGTCCACCCATCGACAGATGAATGGACAAAGAAGATGTGTCATATATACATACATTGACTATTATTCAGCCATAAAAAGAATGAAATCTTACCATTTGCAATGACAGGGATGATCTAGAGATTAAAATGCTAAGTGAAATGTTAGTCAGAGAAAGACTAACTTTAGTCAGAGAAAGACCGTATGATTTCACTCATATGTGGAATTTAACAAAACAAACGAACAAAGGAGAAAAGAGACAAACCAAAAAGTGGACTCTTAACTATAGAGAACTGATGGTTTTTTAGAGGGGAGGTAAGTGGGGGGCATGGGTGAAATAGGTGATGGGGATTACGAGTACATGTATCATGGTGAGCACTGAGTAAGGTATAGAATTACTGAATCACTATATTGTACACCTGAAACTAATATAATGCTGTATGTTGGTCATATTGGAATTAAAAGAATTATCCATTACCACAGCACTACATATATTAGAGTTAATAATATATTCATTATCATACACCATAGTTCTAGTGAATAAGTCCTTAGACTCAAACACCTTAGCGAAAGCTCAAGTTTAGAACTCTGTAAGTGAACTACTAAAAACAGATTCTTTCATTCATATGCCACACACATAAAATTCTGTTTATAATTCTATAAACGGATATAAAATTCTACATATAAATTCTAGAAACAAACATAAAATTCTATATATTTGAAAATAAAAAATTATTTTTCTATGGAAAAATCTAAAAAGGCAGAGAAACCTCTACTTAAAAGAGCAAAAGCAAACACAACATGAAAATAATAAAATGTTACATAACATTTTTACCTCTACTGATCCAAACTTGATCATATGAAATAAAGAATTTTGTATAAAGATTTTATTTATTTATTTGAAACAGAGAGAGAGAGATCACAAGTAGGCAGAGAGGCAGGCAGAGAGAGAGGAGGAAGCAGGCTCCCCGCTGAGCAGAGAGCCCGATGCGGGCCTCGATCCCAGGACCCTGAGATCATGACCTGAGCCGAAGGCAGAGGCTTAACCCACTGAGCCACCCAGGCGCCCAGAATTTTGAAAAATCAAGTCAGACAGAGGCAGAAATTTGCTCCTAATTGCATCACTTATTGAAGGCAGCAAATATAATATGTCCCAGAGAAGACAAATGGCTAAAAAAATTTTTAAAAAATGAGTACTCTTATTCAAAATTTCAAAAATTACCAATTAAAGTAAAATACCAAATATCATTTATCATACTGTAAGAGAGGAGGAGGTCCAGTGTTACAGAGAAGACGGGAAAAGAATTCTCATTTACTGTTTTCACAAGTATAAATTCATGAAACTTCTGTTTGGAAGAGAAATTTGGCAATATTTATCAAAATTAAAAATGCAGAAAACCTTTGACCTACCAATTCTAATTCCAAAAATTTATGCAAATGAACAAAGGTAAATTTTAACTGTAGCAAATTTATCCCACTGAGAAACTAGGAGGGATCAGCTGATGTTGATTAAATGAATTACAAATTATGGCTCATTCATATACGAACTGTGTGCAGTTTAAAGAAACGAGGAAAAACCAGACATAAAGGTAGTAACTCAGAAAGGTGTCTATGATAGATATTATGTCAAGTTAAAGAAGTAAGATATATAGGAGTCTATTTAACAGGACAATTGTCTTGTAGTTAAAAAAAAAAAAAATCCTACCCTTAAGTAAATGGGAAATTATTAGCTCTGAGCTAGCACACTTCATTAACACAGTGTTAATCACTTCAGAAAGTTCAAACCTTTTTACCAGAATGTGTCTAAAGATATAGGAGAAATTTCATGCAAAGATTACAGTATTTTTTATCATTGTATCATAATGCCAAAACCCACCTAAATGCTTAAGAATAGGGGAAAAGGTAAATGTTTAAATAATGTGTGAGATATACATGTGATATTGGATATTGTGAGGACATTATAAAAGTTATGCTTCTGGGGGTGCCTGGGTGGCTCAGTGGGTTAAGTGTCTGCCTTCGGCTCAGGTCATGATCTCAGGGTCCGTGGATCGATCCTGCACAGGGCTCTCTGCTCAGCAGGAAGCCTGCTTCCCCTCCTTTCTGTGTCTGCCTCTCTACCTACTTGTGATCCCTCTATCTCTGTCAAATAAATAAAATCTTAAAAAAAAAAGTTATGCTTCTGAAGATGTTTAATGACAAGAAATGCTTAAGATATAATGTCAAGTGAAAAATGCTAGGGGAAAGAAAAATATAGATGATAAACTATGGTAAGCAACTGAATTCCAATTTTATATCGCCACAAAAAAGCCCCAACAAATCACCAGTGGTTATTTTTCCAGGTATTAAAATTACGAATGATGTAAGTTTATTTCTTGTTAAGTTTTTTTTTTTTTTTTTAAAGATTTCATTTTTGGAGCACCTGGGTGATTCAGTTAGTTAAGTGTCCAACTCTTGGTTTTGGCTGAGGTCCTGACCTCATGGGTTG